GAGGATTCGAATATTTAGCACATTAACTTACGAGCCTAATAAGACGTTTACAATTAACCTAATCAAGCCCTTGAACGGGTCTTACGAAGACAATTCTATCCGTTTCGGCGTTATGGACATTCACGACAGGAAAACAGTTGACGTCGATGTGTAATCAGTGTATCATTGAAATAATGAGCACGTGTATCGCAGACAATTAATATAAACAAATATATTATACATTGAACCAATAAATATGCATATTTCCTGGTTCGACAAACAGCGCAAAGATATCAGTAAACTCATTAGTCCAGCAACGCAGATCGCGATATTTAATGCACACCATGAAAGCGGCCATAATTGAAAGGAATGGCGATTGCTCGTGATAATCAGAACTCGCTTGCGCGCAAGCGAACAACTAGCAAGCCCGTTGTGTCTCAGAGGTCCAAGCGGCGTGCTCTGACATTTAAAAGTCGGCCGCCGGCGGATCGAGTAGCGTGAACTCTCTCTCAACCGGTTCATCACCGGCTCGCGTATCTTTTCTGCATGCATGAATCGACATCTCATATAAGCTGGTCATTCAGAGGTCAGAGGTCCCTACACTAGCAGCTGACTGCTGGCATCGCCTCACATCTTTTTAGGTGAGTGGGAAAATATTATGTGGGAGGCCTATATTTTCCGTCCAGGGCGTTATACTGGGATGTAGCACTGGCAGCAGAACAAGCGGCCAAGGATAGAGAACATGGGTCCCAATAAAACAATGTGCGTAACCTAACCCTAACCTAATTTAACCCTAACCTATCCATACACTAACCATAACCCTAACCTATTATATTGATAATATATTATATTATATTGATGTAAATGCAATGTTTTATTGGGACCGCATGTTCTCTATCCTTGAACCGAACAGGCCGCACGTACAGCACCACAGCGCGCCATAACCCGACCAGGCTGTGTGACTAACGTGACACCGGTATTCTAACCCTAGCAATACCTGTTTCTTGGAGCTAACGCGGCAATTGACTTACTATAATATAACAACTTTGTGCTGTTGTTGTTTGTTGTTGTTGTTGTTGTTGTTGTTGTTGTTGTTGTTATATTATAGTCAATCGGCGCGTGTGGGCTGTACGTGCGGGCTTGTTCTTGCTGCCAGTGGGATGTAGAGCTTTACGACTACGACTCCGAGGAAGAAAGATACGCCAATGCCGCTGAAATGCGCCTCCACGATACCACGATCCACGATACATAGTTTTTATTATTAATTTATATTATAATTTAATAGAGTTATATCTCTCCGGCTTATAGTTATATCTCTCTTACACATCACTAGGAATGATACTGTTCATTTTCTTTAGCTTCTGCAGTTTCGTACGTCCTTTTCGTGGAGTTGTTATGCTCTAGAGTGTAAATAAGAAAGGTAGTAAATACAATTTGTATTTATACTATTAGTATTACTATCATCATTTCACGACTAAAATGGTCTATTTCAGTATTTGCCCCTAACTGTAAGTTCTCATGCTGTGAATGTGATGTACTTCAGCTCCTGGATAATGGATTCATGATATAATTAAAATCTGAACCTAATTTGCAAACATCCCGTGAATCCCCCGACATGTCTTAATTTTCAGCTGTGTTTACTATTCACAGTCCCAACACAGTCATGCTGTCTTTTGACAAGTTTATGCACTGATGTATACATTTTATGAATTGATCGAGATGTATGTCTGATTGATCTGGATGTATTAATTGGGACTGCTTATGGCTAGTGTAACGCTGATGAATGTTGATTAATAGTAGCTTTATTAAATGGGTTTTAAATTTATTAAGATAAAATTTTGATTTTTAGAATGAAGGTGTTGAAGTTCACTGTTTGGTTTTTGATGTTGATGTCCACCTCCTCGTGTCGAAACCACTTCACATCGTGTTTTGACATTCCCCTAGCTTGCTTTAATATATTGTGGATTATATATAAAGAGTAAGAGGGATGCATAGCTCCTTACATTAATACATAACTTACCTCCCCTGGTAGGTAGACAACAAAATGTTCATTTATTATGTGAACCTATAAGGCTATATGTACACTATTTATGTGCAATATAAACCAAAGATACAGAGATAATCATTTGCTCATTTCTCATCTCTTACAAGTCGCATGCTCTCGTCCAATTTTCTTAATTGCGTAACTATGTCGCAAGTAAGTAATCAAGATTGAAAGAGGCCAGCATTAATTTTCATATGTATGTATACATACACATCAGCCTCATGGGACAAAATCCTAAGGGGCCGCGGGCCCGATGCCCGTATTTTAAAGCTCGGGCCTGACATTTATAATACTAGCAAGCCCGACGGGCCCGTAGAAAATCAACCCCCAGCATGTAAAACCGTCCCCGGCCTGTAAAGTTTGCCTGGCGAATCGATCGAAGAGCGCTAATATATCGAGACCGGATCGAATCGCAGAGGCTTGTGTATTCATTTACAGCCCTAATAGTAATTATCAATGTTATAGCCATTTGCTCAGCTGATTATTGTCTACCTACTACCAAGCGATGTTGTTCTGTTCGTCAAACTATCAACGATATACTTGCACCTACACAGATGTTTGTCTTTCACAGTGCGAAGAGACAAATGTAGTAGTTTGCCTCATTCTCTGTGAGCACCTCCAAGATGTGGCTGACGATGAGCTGTATCCTGCTCAAGCAAATCTACGCAATAAATTAGTCAACATTGTATATCAATATAAAACTGTCAACGAATATAGAAACTTAAAACAAATGTTTAGCATGGAAGTTCTAATACAGCACTGAGTATTGAATGGAATTGTACCCATTAAACTTATTTGACTTGACTTACAAGCTAAGGTGCATATCATTGCAAGAAATCGAATATTATGCATATATACTATTCAATGCATTTTGAAACAAAAAATTATTATAAGAATGCAACAGTAACAGTTATTACTTCACATAAATTGTAGTCACACAGTGTTAATATAGACACAAACTTACTAGCCATTTTGCCTGGATACTTTCAAATACTTGGAAAAAGACACCCCTTAGAAATACTTCATAAAACAGTAGATGTTCTTCAGTGAAGTAGAGAATGGCTTCCCACTTAGTGGACTATTATTGCAATTGACATGAAAGCATTTTCGCACCCATTCCTTCATTCGCTTGTCAAGGGCAAGAAATTGTCCAATGCGAATGCCTGTTCCTGTGTGTCGCACCGGCCGTGTCTGTACATTAGAAACAACTCTCGTGTCAGCCGGAGAGTTCTTCTTCATACTTTGGCTTAACATTACGACATCTGGGCAAAATCTGTCATAATAACGAAATCAATACAAACGTTGACACACTAAAAAACCAACACACATTCAGACACTTCACATCTTCTGGATGTGCAAGCGTCCTACATTTTACCAACATATAATATTAGAAAGTAATACTCAATACTTTCTGCATAGATTATCTAACTCGAGTCTATCAGGAGGCGATAGGTTCAAATTCTCGTGCTATATAAACACATACACAATGTTACTACACCTACATAAGCAAAG